GGCTTACGCATGAAGAGCTGTGTGATGACACCCCAAGGTTAGAGGAACAAAGTGCTAATGAGGGCCTTCAGCCTGTTGCTCTGAGATGTGCTGGATACACTACAGACACTTGAAGTCTTACAGAGATGAGCTAGAGGCTCCCAAGGTAACAGGAGCCAACAGGAAAACACCAGTGAAAGACCTCAAAGGAACTAAGTGGTATTCCTCTAAGAAGGTGACATGGCTTACAGCCCAGCTGAAGTGCCTCTACACCAAGGCACACAGCATGAGCAACAAACAGGATGAGTTGGAAGTCACCATGCTGCTAGAAAGCTACATTTAACATTACTGAAATTTGGTGGGGTAACTCCCACAACTGGAGCGTGGTTACCAATGGCTGCATGTTGTTCAGAAAGGACAGATGAGGAAGGAAGGGCAGAGGCATTGCCCTCTACAACAAGAAATGTGTAGAGTATGAAGAGCTGTCTCTGAAGAATAGCCATGAACAGGTTGAAAGCTTATGGGTAAGAATCAGAGACCAAGGGAACCTTATTCGTGGTGTCTACTGCAGACCACCCAATCAAGGGGAGTCTATTCACGAAACCTTCTTACTCCAGCTACAGGAGGCATCATGCTCACAGGCTCTCGTCCTGCTGGGGGACTTCAACAAACCTGACATCTGCTGAAAAAGTAGCATGGCGAGCTATAGGCAATCTAGGAGATTCCTGGAATGCATTGAGGGTAACTTCAGTGATGGTGCACTGGTGGAGTTCGCAGTCCTGAGGGCAGGTAAAAAATAAAGTCAGGACCCTGAATTTTAGGAAAAGTTGGGCAGAGGTCTGTGCACCTTGATCTAGTTGAAGATGTCCCTGCTCATTGCAGTAGCGTTGGACAAGATGACCTTTAAATGTCCCTTCTAACCTAAACTATTCTATGATTTTATGATTCTGATTCTATGATGTATGAGATCTAGCACTTATTCCATTTCACTAATAAGGAAAAATCAGTGGATTTCCTTTTTCAGAAAAAGTTTTTTTCTAGCTGTGCTCCCCATCTTTTTTTGTTGTTGTTGTTGTGTGAGTTTTTTTGTGTTTTAAGACATTATTCTGTTCATCTGCACTGCAAAATCAATGGTTTCCAGCACAGCAGTCCTTCAACACCACCACAAAAAAGTAAACCCTGGTAAAGACCCCAGAGTTTCCACTCATGTGTTAACTGCAGAATTGGAGGGCCCAGGGTTTCTAGTTTCACTGGGTGACAGCATTACTGGCAGAATTGTCCAGCACCCCACGTTTTAGTATGACCTCTAATATTTTTATCAATGATCTGGACATAGGAGTTGAAGGCACCATCAGCAAGTATGCTGATGATACTGAACTGGGAGGTGCTGTTTACTCTCTTGAGGGACAAAGGGCCCTGCAGAGAGATCTAGGTAGATTGACACATTGGGCAATCATCAATGGCATGATGTGGCAAAGTCTGGGTTCTGCACCTGTGATGGAGTAATGCCAGACACAAGTGTAAGCTGGGAGAGGAGTGGTGGAGAGCAGCCATGCAGAAAGGGATCAGGAGTGCTGGCTGACAGCAAGGCTCAATTTAAGTCAGCAGTGTGCCCTGGCAGCCAACAGGGCAAACCACATCCTGGGGTGCATCAAACACAATATAACCATACAGTCAAAAGAGGTGATTATCCTTCTGTATTTAGCATTGGTGGGGCCTCACCTTGAATACTGTGTGCAGTTCTAGGCCCCACAGCTTAAGAAGGATGTGAAGGTATTCAAATGCATCCAGAGGAGGGCAACAAAGCTAGTGAAAAGCCTGGAAGGTATGTCCTGTGAGAACCAGCTAAGGCCTCTGGGCTTGTCTAGTTTGGAGAAAAAGAAACTAAGGTGCAACCTCGTTACTCTCTACAGCTTCCTAAGGAGGTGAAGTGGAGAGGGAGGTGCTGATCTCTGCTCCATGACATCTAGTGATAGGATGTGTGGGAATGGTTCAAGACTGTGCCAGGGGAGGTTCAGATTTGTCATTAGGAAACATTTCTTTACCAAGAGGGTGGTCAAACACTGGAACAGGCTTCCTAGAGCAATGATCAATGCCCCATGCCTATTAGCGCTTAAGAGGCATTTGGACAATGCCCTTAATAACATGCTTCAACTTTTGGTCAGCCCTGAAGTGGTCAGGCGGTCAGACTAGATGACCGTTGTAGGTGCCTTCCAACTAAAATCTTCTCTTCTCTTGTCTTTGCTTCGCTTCCATGTCTCAATTTCTGAGTTCTGGCCTTGCAGGAGGGAGTCAGGAAATCTTGATATTTCCTGCTGTAACAAGGATTCTAAAAAGTTCTACTGCAAACTCTGAAAATTCTTGATTTAGATTCTGGTTTTCAATATTTTAATATAATTACCTTCTCAATATTATGAATCCTGGAAGAATGTTTGCACTAAGTTTTGGGAAACTGGGAAGGCTGGTGATATCCATAATCCAGGCAAATTTTCAAGGAAAAACTGTGTTTTATTTTCTAAAGCCCATAAAGGCAAAATAGGGGTAGGGAAACTGCGCACTAAAAAGTTTGAAGCCTATGTTCTGCTGTACACAGATATTTTTGGCATGTAGTCTCTTTTACAATCTAATCAACTTTTTTGCCTATTAGCTTTACCAAAAGTCTGTTCTTCAATCTTTTAAGAACTGTATTCTTCTAATTTATAACTGTACAGCAACCTGTCAATAGTTGTTTATTTCTGTCTTTGTCATTTTTAGCTTGAATAGCTAGTCTGAATCCAAGGGAATTGATCTTAAGACTTTATGACCAGCAGTAACATCTCTTCTTAATCTTTCTTTCACTAGACTAAATAAGCCAATGACTTCAAGTTTCCTCTCACGTTGTCAATTTTCTTTTCTCTGATAATCATAATAGTTATTCTTGGCATTGTTCCAATTTGAACAGATCTTTCACAAATGCAAATGACTAGAATTTAATATCGAATTGCAATTGTATTGTTATCAAACTTTATTTCATGCAGTAACATTAATCCTTTTCTATCTTACTATCTTCACCTTTATCTTATGATATCTCTTTTTGGTTGCTGCTTATTCTTTTCATGGTTGTATCCATTTCTGGCTCATAATTATTACATGGTATTGCAGTGAAACTTGACTGTAAACTTTTTAGAGTACACAGTACAATCTAAATAGCATTAGGATAATAATTACCTGGTAACTCCATAGCTAAGATTCAAAAAATGCTATGACACTGAGAGCCACAAATCTAAATACTGAAAAGCTGACTTTTATTTTGTGATAATACTCTAATTCTTGCAGATGCAGTCAGTCTTTTGTATTAACCTCAGCATCCAAGAACCAGCATTTAAGTTTATGCAACTGTGAAGGAACTTCTGTTCTTAAATCAACAGAGGTATATTTAGTCATGTTAGGTATGAGGAGAAAGTATAATCTTCTTTCTAGAGATTTAAATTAGTAACCACCCAAATAAGGTTCAGTAATTCTTTTCAATGTTTTATGACAGGTAACACTTCCTAGATGTTAATATTTTAGTGGAAATGTAAGGCTTTTGAGGAGAGGATTGGAAGAACACCGAGTAATAATACAAGTTGAATTTGAACAACAGCAGGCAAGTAGGCTGGTGACATAGCAGAATGGATAGGTGCTTCATCCAAAGCCACATGATGTCAGCTGGAGCATTTTCCCAGAGAGTCCTTGGCTTTGGATGAGAGTGAGGACATGGAAACAAAGGAAGAAGAGGATAAATTGGTGAAAACAGATGTCTTAATTCAAATTTTAAACCATATCTCTACTTCCTAAACCTGAAGATTCAAAGGCATTTGTGACTCCATGTGTAGCTTGTGGAAGCTGGAAAAATTGTTGATGTATGGAGGTCAATCCATATGTTACTTTTTCTGACATCAAGGTAATTGATATGTATTTTCATTCCAAGAAGTAAATGTGTACTAGTAAATATTTTTAACATGTAGCTTGTCCTCTGGTGAGTTGTTATAGATGGCAATACTCTTAACAGAGTCAGGCATAATCATAGATTTAATTTCATACAGGCAAACAAATGGACACATAAAATCAATACATGAAAATCTCAAATTTCTCAGAAAGATCACTTTTTTTTACCCAGCTGTTTGCTAACAACCCCTATAATCAGATATAAATTTTGGTTCTTGTGAGAGACTGAATCATGAAACATTTGTCTCAAAGGTTGTTTATCCAAGATGAGGATGACTACAAGGATGAAAAACACCCTGCCAAGATAACGGCTACATGTGAGGAGCAGGGCTGGAGCCACCCACCATGAAGCGTATGTGCATATGCAGGAATATGAAGATATGCTAAATTGCAGGCCGTGAATGAGACAAAAAGAGGACTGCCAAGACAAGCCCGTGTGCATGCCGGCCACCTCCGAGCACAATCACCCACCACCGAAAACATCGAGAGACTTGGACCCCAGGACACCGCGGATCCATGGTGGTGTCTATCCTTGCAGCTCTATCCTGAATGCTTGCTTGATTTCTGTCTTTTTATTCCATTCTGTCCTATTGCTACTAACTCTTTACTTTTGATAATAAAAGCTCTTTTGGGTACACGGCATTTGACCTCGTTTGTGTCTTAATCTCGCTCTCGGGATCGTATCAAAACCTCCCCCGACATTGGATCAGGACATTTAAATTGCCGTCACAGACAGGATCCTTTGAGACGAGAGTGCCATATTATTTCCCAAATACGTGAGACCTCTCAGGAAAGTAAGGGGTGCGTGTCTTGTGTTTGAAACTCACGTGCTGCCTTCCTGAGACAACCGCTTACCCATTTTGTTTCCCAAATAAGTGAGACCTCTCAGGAAAGTAAAGGGGGGCGAGTCTGTGTTTGAAACGTAGGTGCTGCCTTCCTGAGATGACTGCTTCCCTACCTTGAATAGGATGAGTGACCTTAAAATTGCCCCTTTGGGGAGAGAAGTTTTGTTTGAATTTTTAGAAGAATATAATGCGTGACCCTCTGTACCCGGGATGGACTGGGCTCAGGGAAATAGGTATAATTTGCAGAGTGTGGTTGATCAGAGAAGTGCTTTGCGAAAGGATGCAAGAGTGAGATCAGGAAGGGGAAAATTGATTATTTGTGCTGTTCTCGGTCCCAGTTTGGCCGCTGCTGTAGAGGTGAGGGAATGCTGCCGAAACCTCGTTCGGTCCCTTCAGGGGCAAGTGGCAGATTTAAAGGTACAGCTCGAAGGAGAGAGAGACCAGGTGAAACTTCTGCAGACTGCTCTTAAGGAGCAACTCCCTGGGGGCACTGCCCATGAGGAAACATCCCCAAGGTCAGGAACTGGTTACCCTTTTGATGACTTGCAGGCAGCGAGGCGAAAAGCAGAGAAATTAGAACTGCCCTCACTGCGACCCTTGGTTAAGACTGAGTATATTTATGATGACGATCAGGATCAGTCCCCCCAAGTCACAACCAAGGAGGTCCCCTATACCACCACTGAGTTGGTAAAGTTAAAAAAGGATTTCAGTCGAACCCCTAGGGAGTCAGAGACAGAGTATGTGTGGAGAGTATCATTGTCGGGGGGGAATCAGATTTTGCTGAGCGAAAAGGAAGCGGAGGGGTATTGGGGACCAGGAGTATTTTTAATTACTGGGAATCACAGTGCCCCTTGGTCTTTAACTCAGCTGGCAACCTAGTGGGTGGGGGGTTTGAACCCCTTGGAGAGGGGGGATCCCCTCGCAATTACGGGGATTATCTATCAGTTGGTGGAAAGTGTGCAGAAGGCGGCTTGTTTGCAGATGATGTATGATCAAAAATTGGAGCCTAGGCAGGAGTCCCTGATGATGATGCCAGTAGACCCTGAACGAATGACTCCCCTCATAAGGGGACTCCCCGATTCCTTAAAGCCAATCGGTATACAATTACAGGGGAAAATACAAGCAACGTCCCAGGGCGAAAAGGTTGCGACTGCTTTAGAAAGATTTATGCCTGACTGGCACCACTGGCCCCCAATAGGAAAATGTGGATGTGGGGGGAGGTGGCACAAGAATTGATTAATTACGGGTGCAAGTATGGCCCAGTTAAAATTCCAGCCACTAAAACTGACTCTAGGGACCTGAGGAGAGCTGAAGTGAAAATGGTTCTGTGCCCTGGAGGTGATAGAAGAAGATCTCTCACTACTCCACCCAGAGGGAGGGACATCCCAAATAAGCGCCGTAGCCTGTGGGCAAAGGGATGGCAAAAGGGAATTCCACGTGATTTAATGGATGGATTGCTACAGACAAGTTAGGAAAACTGGTGGCAGCATGGCCCGATGAACCGGCAGATACGGAGATGGGTTTTAAAACAAACGCCCCCAGTGCACCCTCTTTAATCAACTTATTCGAGACAAATGTCCCTCGATAAACCAGCAGATACGGAGATGGGCTTTAAAAAAAAAAAAACAACACTCCCAGTGCACCCTTTTTAGTCGACTTGTCAGAGACAAATGTCCCTTAAAATTTGCCGGGAAACTAGATTCTACACCCTCTGATGGTGAGCGGGGGGGGCAGGGTGAAGGTTGGATATGTATCAGACAGCTCACATTTACTAACTACAGGCATTGTAGAACCACAACAAGTCCTGGTCACATTTTTGGTAGATACCAGGGCTCAAATTTCAGCTCTTAAAACAAAATAACACTAGGTGGATCATTCCATCCTTCTAATAATAACCTGCTTCCGGTTCCTTAGAACGAACCGAGTTGGCTTTTTTGTTTTCTTTTTTCAGGTGGAGGCTCTGAAGCCAGCCAGAAGAAATACAAGAAACTGTTGATTGCTTGCATAGTTTTGTTGGTGATTGCTTTGTTAATGTTCATATGGTGGCTGATCTACCATCATAAACGATGTTTTGGCGGATCATTATCACAAACTTTAGTATCTGGGGAAGCTCTTGCTTCCCCCCCCACCCCCAACTCATCGTGGAAAATGAATTTATTGTTTTAAGTCAACAAGTGGCCGATGCTTGCAACCTTGCTGATTGTTGGGTATTGTCTAAATTGAACACAGGAGGGTGGTGTTTTTGTAGGGAATAGCAAATGCAACTGGACCTATACATATGGAAACCATTGCCTCAGTGCTGGCTGTAAGTCTATCAATTGTTCACAATCTGGAAATAGGTCGCAATATTGTACATTGTTTAACTCTATTGATGAATCTTTTTGTATTTCATTGGCCAGGTTGGGCCTGGGTAAATCAGGGCACAGGAAACAATTTTCTAACTTTTGATGCAGCACTAACCAATCTGATAGCCATTTGAATGTTACTTGGTTTTGGCACCTTGATTTCAGTGCCTGAGATTATAAATTTATTCTCAGCTCCCTGAAGTAAATCAAATTTGATGGTCAACTTGCGACGGAAATAGCAAAAAGTGTCAGGGGATCAAGATCTGGTTGCCGACCAACGAAATACTCCGCTGAGGTTATGAAAAGGAGGTCAAAACATTTGTGTACAAGTTATTGGTAAATGGTCTGTCAAACCATCCTTTTGGAGTAGATAATACCACATATTTCCAAGTACCATGAACCCCCACAGGCCTATTTGAAAATGTCATCTGGGCATTAAAAGGTCATTATTGGATCTGTGGACATTATGCATACAAGCAATTGCCCAAAAATTGGACCGGGGTGTGTTATGTGGGACTAACTCACCCCTTGTTCTTTATGCTCCCGGAGGATGGAGGTGACGGATTGGGTGTTAAGTTATATGATGATCTCGGTCGATACCGGCAGTCCATTGGTACCGCTATAGCGGGTGGAAAGTGGTCAAACCTGGGGATTTTTATCAAATGGGATGATAAGGAAAAGAGGGAAGCCACACAAACAGAGGTACAAACCTGACAAAAAACTTGAACTGGACACAATGAGGAGACAATGACAACACACAAACCAGGTCACACTAAGTAAACAAGTGGGGTCTCTGTGCAAGCTACTGCAATGAGTTGGGGTCTTAAAACCTTCAGCCTGCACTGGGAATGAACAGTGTGCGCCCCAAAAACCATCTACTGAGAGGAACTGGTGTGAGTGAGGTGAGTGAGGTGCTCAGCACTGGTGGCTGGAATGGGACTGCTGGTCACAGCTGGTGTGCCTGGTGCCAGCTGCTAGGGAGGAGTGTCTGTTTATTCCCCAAAGTGTGTGCATATGTGCATTCACCAGCCATTGAGTAGAAGACCCTGGGTCACAGCAGGGGTATCAGGTGGGGATAAGGCTCATGCTGGTATTCAGAGGGGGGGGATCCACAAGTGTGGAGTGCCTTTGGGATGTGTGTGAATGTGTGTGTGTATTTTCTAGCAAGCACCAAGCCGGACCAGTCACTTGCAGCATCCCTTAACATTAGTGACAAAGTCCATGTTTTCTGATTGCAGAATGCAAGAAGGTATTAATATCCACTACGGCAACAACCCCAAGTCCAGTAGAGATGTGATATAACAAAGTCAAAAGGGTTATTCACTTGCTTAAAATTAAGGAGGTACTTAAACGTTTTCGTAACCTGAGACTGAAAACCTCTCTGGTGTCTATTAGTATTAACTCCAATGAAATCAGTGCAATCAAGTCGATTACATCAGCTGAGAATCAGATGAGAACTTTCCCCAGAAATGTTGTAAAGCTGATAATTACTTGAGTCTTCTGATGGTAATTTAGTGGCTAATTAAATGGACTCTCATGGATTACTTAAGAAGCTTTGTACATTCAAATATTATTACAAATTGGTTTTGTACACGTTAATGTAACAAATAGAAGGAACTATGTTGTTATTGCTAAAGAGTCAATGTGTGAAAATTATGTTCTGCCCCCAGCTTTGGCAGTCACCTTTGGTAAATTACATCTTTTTTTTTTTTTTTTTTTTCCTCAGTTATTAATTAGAAAACTTAAGGGAACTTTGGAGGAGTGTTTATACTAACATGTAACATAAATTATAGGTCATAGTCACCTCTACCTTGTTCTGGCAACTACGGTTCAGAGAAAAGGTAAAAAAGTACGAGAAGAGTTGTACAGAAGTACTTGTTTGTCCAGTATCTTAAGCTGCTGAAGAAAGTATGTGAAAATATGAGTGAAGATTTAGTAACACATTCTCAGAATATTTTCCCAGTCTCCAACAATTTGTTGTTCAGGGAATTCATGTCCTCTATTTAACAGTTCTTGAAATATGGACACTTAGCATATACTCCTACCAATCCTTGCATGAGGAATAATAATGTCTGATGGATGAAAAGGACCAATAAACATAATTATTGCTATTATTTTTCTTTCACCACAATACATATTGTCATTTTTCTGCTATTCATTAGTGGAGATCTATTTCGCCATTATTTATAGTGCCATACTTTACCGGATAAAAATATCTTCTTAAATTTGATAGGAGCTACACTTAACATTATTTAACTACTGCAAGCTCACAGTATCTCATTCCTACCTAATATAATGTAATTGCAAATGTCATGTGCTTTCACTTGACCATGAGCTTTATATGGCAGTGTTCCAGGAGAAAATTTAAACCAGCCTGTGAGGACTTCTATGTAGAAAAGATAATAATCTGTTATACAAATGACTTCTCTCAGACCACCAAAATATTTAAGATCTGAAACTAGTCATCTTTACATACCTACCTGTACAAAAAAGACATAATGAAATCTTCATCATAACCCTTGCAAAGCTTATTCTGTCCCAGCAATTTCCTCTCTGAATTGTTTAGTGGTCGTTCAGAATCAAGACTGCCCTTTCATTTTACATTTATGTGATCAGTACTACATATTATATGCCACTGCATAATAAAAAAATCAATTCAAACTGGGTAGCTTAAAAGTGTTTGTCTTCCTTTAGCAGTTTAATAGCAACTTTTTTTTTTTTTAATTTTGAACGACTTTCTACTATTATGCTAGATGATAACGTTTATATATCAAATCCTGTAATTCCTTGAAACTGCTTGATTTATGCCCACTAAATTATCTGAGTGTAAAATGTTTAGTGAAAAAAATAGACATTCATTCAGTCAGATATAATTCCATACTCATGTAATTACAGTGGCTTGGAGCCAGCACTGACTGAGATCCTAGAAGTTTAGTGTATAGGCAAAGGACAATGCCCATACATCCAGCTGTATTGTTGTGTTTAACATTTCTTTAAAGAGCATTTGAGGTGTGATCCTCATCTTCTAGTACACTTTGCAGAGTCCTACTTTTCCAAAAAGCAGAACAACGGGGGTTTTAGATGTTTGTCCCTATGGAAATGTGATATTTTCTCTTTTACTTATTTGTTTAATTTGGGGAGAGGGTGTTTCCTTTCTATTTTCTATTGCCTGCTGGGATGAATCAGAGACTATATCTCAGCTTTATTCACTGTATCTTGTTTCCGGCTCTAGAGTACTGCAGTTTCACATACTTTAGCAAGTTTCTGCTTCTGCTTTAGCATCTACTTTGAGAGAGAACAACTTGGCAAAGAGTAGGCTTCACATTAACTTGCATCAACTGCTATTTTCTCCCTGTTTTATTTTGGAAAAAGAGTGTGTGAAGGGAAAGCACTCCATTTTTAGACTGTAGGTTTCTGATTCAGTCCTCATTTCAGACACATTTTTCGATCCTCTTTCACGTGTACACTGCAAAGGTATTTTTTTCATGTTACACAAGCATTAGTATCAACTTTCTTTTGCTTACTGATTTGTGAAAAGCTAATTTTCAATAAATCAATTTCAAATCTGGTGCTGTCGGGATTTTTTTGCATTTATGAAATTAGATATTGCTTCAATACATACAGGTTCAGATTCAGACCCCCACAAGTCTATAAAAGAGTTGTTGAGTTGTAAAAAGCAAGATCTAAACTAAAAGAAATAAGCAAACCTAATAATCTAACAGATGTAATATTGTTCCTGTACTTAAGATCCTCTATTTTTTACAGTTTAATTCTGTTACTTCTTTCTTCAACTCTGATGAAAAGAAAAAAGGATTATTTTCATCATCCATTGCAGTTTAAGTTCTTATATATTGTGATCTATATTTTTTGCTGTCACTTGTATTTATACGTAACAATTCATGTTCTTTCTTTATTCTACTTTATTGATTTTTTTTTCCCTCTTGATACTCAGTTAATACCCATGACTGCCAGGGTGAAAAGAAACTGTTGATTTGTCTCCCTTATGGTTTACTTAAAACAGCTTCCTTGTTCAGGGGTCTTAAAATTCAAGCTGTGGAGCTGATTCTTTTTTTCTTTTCCTTTTTCTTTTTCTTTAAGGCAAAATTTACATTCAAAGCAGGTAATTC